TAAGCTGAGGACTACCTGTACTCTACTACGCTGACAGCAAAACATATCATGAACTTAATAAATCACCATGTTTTTATTTAGAACCCCCCCGCCCCTGCCGAGAATACTGTGGATGGAAACAGCCCTGGGTCATGTTTTTGGATGATCGCTGGCATGGATGAGGAGGGGGCTGTGCATTCAACCTCGTCCCACCTGACCTCTCAGTGGCTTTCAATACCATTGACCAAGATATCCTTCTAGATTGGCTCAGAAGATTGGGGACAAGATAAGATAGACTTTATTGTCCTTTTTTTTTTTTTCCCCTGCGGGCACACTGGCACACACTAAAAATGAAAATCTATTGCCTGCTCTCAAAAGTGTACATGTATCTAACACACAAATAGACATGCTATATACATACATTTGTATATATCTACACAGGGGTGGGATTCTCCCAGTTCGGACCGGTTCGGGTGAACCCCTAGCTGCCAAGATCAGCTGGCTCCTAACCGGTTCGATCCGATGATCATGTGGGCCTGCACTGGACTCACTTATGTGTGCTCAGCGGATTGGTGTGGCAGAGCAGATTGCCATGCTTCAGCTGTGTTACTTCCCCGAAGTAACATTGAAGGTAAGTAATTGTGTGCCCAAAGCGCGCGATTAGCGAGCCGGTTTTTACACCAGGAGAATCCCACCCTCTGTACCTACAACCAAACATACATATAAATATTAATCACTGTCCATCTTGAATATGTAGTGGAAAGAAGAAGCTTGAAAATTGCAATGTTGATACTGTACTGTGGCTGAACCTGGATGTTCTGCTTCAGATACCGTGAAGCCCGCTCCCAGAAGGTAACAAGGAAAAGAGGTTGTGAAGAGGATATGTAGCATCCCAGACAATCCTGCAGACCCTGCTCAAGCAAATGCTTATATGCCATGTCCTGGAGAGAAGGGAGTGAACTGTGAATAATCTTTTCGGCCATCCTCGCCACTCTCTGCCCCGCCTTCCTGTCTGAAGCAGTGATGCTTCCAACCTAGACCGCAATGCAGTACGACAGGATGCTCTCGATCGTCCCTTTATAGAAAGTGATAAGGACAGGGGGAGGATGATGAGCTTTTCTCAGGTGAAGCTGTGCTCACTTCACTAATGTCTCGCTGTTGAGCAACCAAGCCAGCCTATTCATTAGCTGCACACCCAGAAGTTGGATGCTGCCAACATGGTGTTCTACTAGTTCACCTTGTTTCTCTGGGGTTGATTTCAGTAGGTGGTTACTGGGGGAGAGGGAATAGAATAGAACAGAGCTGGAAGGGACCTTGGAGGTCTTCTAGTCCATTCCCCTGCTCAAGCAGGAGAACCTATCCTATTTCAAATAAGTCTCTTCTTAAAAACCTCCAGTGAAGGAGCACCCATGATTTCGGAAGGCAAGCTAGTGTCCTCACTGTTGGGAAGTTCTTCTTAATTCTAGGTTGCTTCTCTCTTTGGTTGTGCTGCTAATGTCTTCTCTAGGTGCCTGGAAGCTGTGGGGGTCTCAAATAATAGGTTTGAACCCTGGCAAGACTGAGTGATGTTGGGTTGGGTGCCCACTGGTTCCAGAACTATGCCATCTTTGGTGCTGTATGGGCTGACACCAGTGGTGGTATTCAATTTTTTTTACTACTGGTTCTGTGGGCATGGCTTGGTGGGCTTGGTGTGGCTTGGTGGGCGTGGCAGGGGAAGGATCCTGCAAAATCTGCATTTCCATTCCACTCCATGGGAAGGCCTGGGTACCCCAAGGACTGATGAGTTATTGAGGTGAAATATATCAATATAATTATAATACTATTATTCATTATTGTTTGTTGCATAGTCCACCAGATGTTCAGACTAGATTTGGCATTTTTGTCTGCCTTTCGAATTCTTTCCAAGAACCTGATAGGTTCTTGTGGGTGTGGTTAGTGATATCGTTGCAGGATGTAAATTGTTCCCAGTAAAGCTACCTTTTGCAATTGACAGACAGGGAACGTGTCAGTGCTAATGGTATGATTAATTATTACTAACATATATATCTTCACCTAATATTTCTTCCTTTTCTGCTTTGTCTTTTATTGTTTTGAAATGCTTTTATAAAATAATTACAATGATAATAGTTTTACCATGGTATTTATCAACTTAACTGTTTTTCTGCTTTGTTGTATGCTGTCACTTTTTTGTGAAATTTGACAAATAAATACATAAATATTGCACATGGAATTATTGCCTCATGTGTTGTGAAGCTCTTGGCAACCCTCTTCAACAGAAAGTAGATTTTCCCCGAGTGTAACAGGATTTATTGAAAGGGGACAGGAAAAACTTCCAGCAAATCTAGCAATTGGCTTGCTTTCACTTTAGAATCTAATCCATCACGCAGGTTGCCAAGTCAGGAGCGTTTTTGGTCTGTGGGGCTCCTTTGTGAACTGGTGAGGCAGCTGTTATCTTAATTAATAAGTAATGCCCAAGTAGTCGGAAAGAGAATTTCCGACAGACTCTGCACATAGCATCACACCTGTCAAAATATTTCATGGAAATGGTCAAGAATATGCCGTTTACCTCTCCTTATTCTCACAGGTAATCCTCACAACCACAGTAGGGATCAGAAAATCCATCATTATGTAGTGCAGTCATTAAGTGAGACGTGCTGTTTTCAATGTATTTAATTTTATACTTTGGCTACGGTTTTTATGTCGCTTCAACTTTTCATTGGAGTAAAATGGGTGACTGTATAAATGTTATAAATAAATAAGTAACAAGGTTTTTTTCCACATTAAATGGAACACCTGCATTCATTAAGTGAGACATCACATGACCGCAATGGAAGACACTGTGAGTTCCTGCTGCAGAAATGACCAAGATCAGCAAAAAAATAAATAAAATCAATCATGTTTATTCGACACCTCAGAAAACATTTAAAAAGGTTTGGCTATTAATAATACAGGAAATATAAAACAATAGAGGGGACACTTGTATGTAAGATAAGGTTCTGCCATATTTTTGTCTGGTCTAAAAGCCCTAAATTATTTTATAATGCTTTGGGGAAATTAATATGGTTTAAAGATATGAATGTGATTTTGAATTAATGTCAAATTATTCAATATAGGAAAAACTATGGATTTTCCAAGTATGACATGCAGTAAAAAAAATGATGTCATTGTTCTGTTATAGAACCACACTGCCAAGTGCCAGGGAAATCAGGAGATTCAGGCAGTTCAAATGAATATAAAGATTTATTGCAAGCTTAAGCTCTCTACTAGAATCTGAACTACTATTGGTCAAAGCAAATGAGTGGGAGATAAGAGAGGCATTCAAGGTGGACTTCACGGTGCACAGGGACTCATGACTTTTGACACATTTGACCCCTCCCTTGGCCTCAGCCTGGTCCCCTCCTGTACACATTAGTTTATAATTTGAGATCAAGGCCATCCAGCTGGGGCTTTAATTACAGGGCTGTGAATGTCATCTTGATAGTTTAATACCCACCGACCGCCATTCCCTGCAGATGCTTCTGTCTGGGGTAGATAACATGCATTAGCTCATTATTCATTAGCTAAGTAATGGGAACATTATCAATATATGTTTGGATCTAAATATATATTAATAAGCAACAGCATATTACTTTCTTCTGGGATTTGTAGCATTTATTTTTCTGTCTGTCTAATCAACAGATAACCATTAAAGAAACAAAACTAGCCATTGTTTTAGATTTACACTTCTTCCCTTGCCCAATGTATACATGGAGATTTATGCTTAAATCCTTGAAGCCAACAGCCATGTCTCTGCTCATTCAACATTCACCTTATTCCTTCCATATTGGGTCTCCTAATGGCGCAATCACTTTTTCTGTTCTTTCTCATCTCATTCCCAGCCATCCAAGCAAGTCACTAAAATGAATATTTATCTGTCCTGGGTCATATACATTCAGAAGGTTGCACAATTTCCCCCCAAAAGTCATATCCAATTCTTCCATTATTATTATTCACTGGAGCATAACATACGCTGATCAGCAGTCCATCGATTTTTACTTTTATATGCATCCATAATAACCAAAATGCCACTAATTCATACCAAATGACATCCTTTTTAGCCCTCCCATTCATAATTAAACATAAAGGCTAAAATTGTACATCAGTAAATTCCCTGCGTCCATTCATCATTTACATACCACAACATCAGACCCCTCTTTCTTCTGATCTATTAATTTCTACCCTTCTCTTCGTTTCAAAGACACACACATACATACATAAATATATTTAGCTATATTTATCCACTCCAGCTTGGTAGTCTTTGCTCCTTTTAAATTCCATACACAATCTTCCATGTGCCAATTCAAACCCAGAGATAGAGACCTTTGCCACCTATCACAGCATTTTACTCAGATAGATAAATGCAATTCATTTCTCTAGTATAAGGCATACTAGAGCATTCTTCTAAACATATGCATTTTAGGCAGACTTTCCTCTAATGTATTGTTTTTAAATTGAAAATGTGCATTGTAATTCAAAACAAAATGAATATGACTTCCATTTTGTGCCTTGGGCTGAAAAGGTGGATTTTGATAAGTACCCACTGGAATGCCCAATAACTCAATCCATCTCCCAACTTAAATTGGAGACAAGGGTCTGATCCTGGTCTAGCCTCGGATTAAACAGACCATATTTTTTTAAAACTGAAACTACCGAGACAAGAGGCTAAAACTGGGATTTTCATTTTGCAGATAGCAATAGCACTTAGCTCCATAGTGCTTTAGTTCAGACCCTCGCTAAGAAGTTTACAGAGTCAGCCTTTTGCCCCCAACAATCTGGGTCCCCATTTACCCACCTCGGAAGGATGTAAGGCTGAGTCAGCCTTGAGCCAGTCAGGATCAAATTCTTGGCGGTCAGCAGCATTTGCCTGCAATGCTGCATTCTAACCACTGCACCATCAGGGGTCCTGTGTGAATCATAGAACTGCACCTATAATCTCTTTTTCCCTTTCTCTTTTCCTCACAGGAGCTGGATCCAACACTTACCCTGTTGCCTTTAACTCCCGGAGGCCCAGATTTGTCCTGCAAAAAGGAAAAGAAAGGAGAATCTATGGAAGGCTTCAGAAGTCATTTCTGCTAGCTAATCAGGCCAGCAAATTCCCATTTCCCAAGAGCATTTGGATGGCTTCTTCACCACGACCTCAAAGAACAAAGCAATCTATGAAGGGGACTCACTGATTTGCCAGGTTTCCCAGGTGGTCCAGGTTCCCCCTTGGCTCCTGGATTCCCAGGGAGGCCGATTTGATTTTCATCAGTAATAATGGGGCAAACTTCACATGGATCACCCTGTTGGGAATACATAAAAATGCATTAAAAAAAAAAGAATACAAAGGAAGCTGAAACCAACAACACAAGGCAAAGGAAACTCCAACCCCTCAAAGAGTAAAAGCACTAACAAAAACTATGATCCACCCTAGCATGCTCTGTATTCCTATCTTTGCTACATAGATGGAAATGGTTGGAAACAACATTGCAGCAATCATATGCATCCCCAACAAGACTGAGGCTTCAAACACACATTGCAGTGTCACAACGCAAGCACTGCCCATTGCATATTTTCTATCCAAAGGCGTAGATTTTGCATTGTGATGTCATAATATACAGTTCATTGTTTGTCCCCCTTTGCCATCTCTACAGGTGCCAATGTTCAAATGCATAGCTACATAATTGTGCATCTCTGCACCAGGAAAGAGCCTCACTGATCATATTTTTTGGATGTCCCACCAGTCCAAAACATCTGACTAATCTTGTGTGGCTTCCACAGAATTCCAGGCCTGGAAGTTAGAGTGGAAGTTAAAAGAACAGCCCACAAGAAGAAGATGGTAAACCATTTCCAACCTGAAAACTATATGGATATATCCATAAAATCACCAGCATTTGAGCTCTGTTGGAAGGTACGTACATATTTATGATTTATGATTGCCTTGTTCTGTAGACCAACATGCCCAACTGGCTATTTAGAGCAAACTCTTGCAATACATTGCCAGGCCCAACCAGGAATGGCCCAGTTCAGAGAGCCTTAAAGAGAAGCTGCTCTTATCTAAAGAAGTGAAGGGAAGATTCCAAAGAGGGGAATTCATACTTTATAAAAATGATAAGTTTTTTTTTAAAGTTGTTTCCAATTTACAAATATATATACTTCTGCGTTCTTGCAGCATTCTTTTTTGAGGTGACTTATTTTATTCTGCATTTTTTTAATTGCTGCATATGGATAAGCACTAAAACTTCCAAGTTTATGATTAAAAGCCATTTCATATATTCACAACTATGTATACACTTGTACTTATTATCTTGTAAACAATTGACAAATCAAATAAATAAATAAATAAATAAATAAAAAGGAACCAACTGAATCTTCAAACTGCCATATGGGTAGCCCTCGACTTACGATAATCGGGAGCAGGATTTATATGGCTAAGCAAGGGAGTTAAGGGACTCATGCCTGATTTTATGACTTGTTCTGCCACCACTGTTAAGTGAATCATGTAGTTGTTAAGCAGATATGACTTCTGCCACTGACCTTGCTTGTCGGAAGCCAGCTGGGAAGGTCATTAGTGGTGATCAGATGATCCTTTGATGCTGCAACCATTGTAAATCTATGCTAGTTGCCAAGCACCCAGATTTTGAATCACATGACTGCTGGGATGCTGCAACAGTCATATGTGGAAGGACTGGTTGTAAGTTCCCTTTTTCAGTATTGTTGTAACTTTGAATGGTCGCTAAATGAATGGTTATAAGTCAAGGACTACCTGTATCATCACTCTGCATTAGGAAGGTTAGATTTCCAACCCATGAACCCAGATATGCTCCTTTGGAATCCTCCTTCCCTTTCAACTTTTCTTTTCCATTCAACATTTTTTGGTAACTGAACTTTCTCAGGGACCAAACAAATGTACAAAGTTCTAAAGGGAAAGAAGCAGGGGTGGGATCCGACTGGTGTAACTTACTGGTTCAGTGATTTTACATTGCGCGCATGTATATCATCATCAGCTAGCTGCCTGGACAGCTGAGCAGCGTGCGCAGCGGTTGAAAAGCACTTTTTTCCTGCTTTTTCAACCGCGGCTGTGTCGCACAAAGCAGCTGTGGTTGAAAAAGCAGGAAATAAAGGTCAGGTAAGAGCCCCGGCGGGCAGGTGGGCCAAAACAGCAGCCATAGAACTGGTTCTATGTATGCTCACTGTCTGCTGCTCTTCAGAGCTACCGGTTCTACAGCAGGTGGACAGAACTGGTAGAATCCCACCCCTGGAAAGAAGCACATCTCCTTTGGATTGGATTTCTCAAAATAAAGTTATCCTTGTGCAAACTTGGGTGCTTTTCCAGATGGTACCATTCCCTAAGAACCTCAGAAAAGATCAAGGAGTGAAAGGGAAGTCTACATCGTTTGTCATCTTCTTTCTCAGAGATCCATGTTAACCATTTCTCAAAGGTCCCCATTTAGTTTCAATGCCATTGGACTCACAATGGCAGAGCTGTTGGTTTCCCCTCTGAAGTGCTGACTTGATCCTGACCTATTTATACTTACCTTTTCTCCTCTCAGGCCTGGGGTCCCTGGTTTGCCCTGGAGAGAAAGGGGTATGGATTTAATTTGGTTGATAAAATGCTAGTAAGACCATCTCCTAACCTATACTTCATATGCACAAGAGGTATGAAAACTGTGCCATTGTGCTTTCTGAACTTACTTGAAGTCCCACCACCTCACCCATAAGGCCAGACCCATTAAATTCAGAGGAACGCCACCTCAAGAGAAGATGAATACACAGAGAAAAGAAGGACTGGGAACAGAGTAAGATGGTGGTGACTCTTCTGGCATCTGTCCTCTTCCCCAAATGGGTGGAGGGTGGCTGGCCTCTATGTCTTTTATTATATGACATGGCTCAAACAAGCACCCTCTAATCAATTTTGGGGCTTCCTCCAAAGATCTGGGGGCAGGTTTTATCTATTCCATGGATATTTGCTTCAAGGAAACCCTCAACAACTTAACATCTTTTAGATGTGGTGGATTGATCCTACAAGATTCCAGCCAAATGGACTTGAGATATATACAGCAAGTTTGGGAACGGCTATTGTAATGAGGCTAGTAATATCCAGTGCTGTCTGCCTACCAACTCTTTTTCAATCCTGGTCAACTCTGGTCTCACCAAGAGGCAAAAACATGGCTGCTCAACACATAAAGAAGAATGTTTTAATTTTTCTGATCAGAAAGGTCACAGGTAAGGACAGATAGTTACTACTTCCTTAAGTTGTCTCCAGGTGCCACTGTCTTTTAAGGGACATGTCTATTAATAATGTTTCATTTTTATAAGAAACTCACCTCTGAGCCCAAAGCCTAGAATAGGAGTGAAGATTGCAGCCCTCATTGTTTGAAAGCCAGCCTACTCTGAATAGATGTTTGGGGTGAAATTAAGTAAAGTGTATAGGAAAGAGAAAGAAATGAATGTTTGCTCCTTATACTCCTTCCCTTCCTGCCTTCCTTTCCACCTGCAGCCTCATCAAAAGATGTCTCAGATAGTCACCTAATTCTACATCAGGGCTGTCAAACTCCCGGCCCATGGACCGGATGCATTATGCTCTGGCCACACCCATGACCAGTTTAGCGAAGGGGAAAAAAAGTCCCGATACATCATGTGACGCCGCTGTGATGACGTGAGTTTGACATCCCTGTTCCACATGGATGACATATTTCAGAACATACAGAAAACTTGTATTACATTTCTGTCCTCCATGACATACTAAGATGTAAGAATTAAGCATGTAAGAATCAATAGCTGAATGGGGTATGTGTGAGTGTTTGTAATTTTTCTGCCTGAAATTGAAGCCAAAGGTCCAGTGAGCTTCATTTTTGGAAAGCAATCTCAGAAGTACGTTTTCTCAGTTTCTGCCAGTCCTTTACCCAAATAACCTGATGGCCTCTTTGTCATCCAGAGTCACAAAGTATTAGTAGGACCAACATACTTTAGTTTCGTATAAACTGGGACATAGAGTAGTCTTTGCAAAACAATCATTTCCATGACATTAGAAGACACATGCACACAAAAGACATAAAAATAACATTTAACAAAAGCAACCAATGGGGAGGGGGTAGCAAATGCTTCCAATTTTCCACAAGATCTGTTCTCCTAAACAACCCTAAACAAAAGGAATTAGAGCTGACAAGGATTCAAATCAAGTGTTTCTCAGATTGCAATGTTCACAATGGAATGTGAAAATAGACAGCAGTGAAGTTGGACTGTTTCCCAAGGATAAGCTGCTAGGGGACCCGTACTCAGAGCACCAGCAGGACACAACTGGCATTTATATGCCTTTCCTTCATAGGAAAAATATGCCAGAAATAAATATAGGGAGGGAAATTGCATGCACTATGTAAATTTGCACATTCAATGCACACTGGAAACTTTGGGACACACATTTTCCCAAAAGAAAAAGCAAATACAGATGAAATACAGTTCCAGATGCAGAACAAACGGTTATGTGTTACTGAAACTGTTGTGGAAATTGTGTATATATTTATATATGAATATAATACTCTGAAAAGAAAAGGAAAAAAAGAAATGGAGAAGGGAGAGAGAGAGAGAGAGAGAGAGAGAGAGAAAGAGAATGAAAGGAAAGAAAGGAAAGAAAGAAAGAGAGGGAGGGAGGGAGGAAGAAAGAATGAAAAAGAAAGTAAGAAAGAAAGGAAAAAGGGAGAAACAGATCAAAAGAAAAAGATCTTTTTCTAAATCACAGCAAAATCAAAGCAACTCTCTCTCTAGTTTTTTCTTTTCTCCTTATTGTTTTATTTCTTTGTCTTTTTTTTCTGTCTTTCTTCAGCCATTCAAATGGAAACAGGCATCAAGCAAGGCTGCATATTCCCCCCCCCCCCTTCATTTTTTTATATTAATGCTGGGCCATCTCCTCAACATGAACTTTTATTCCCACACACTAAACTTGCTGAGAGGCATATCTTTGTTCTACTCTATGTAGGCAAAGCAGCAACACTTTCCAGAACATTGACTGGCCTTAAAGAACACTGAAATCATTAGCCCAGTACAGCATGGAAGACCAGCCAGTACTCAATTATCAGAAAACCCAAATCACTGCATTTGCCAAAAGGCTCAAAAGCCACTCCTGGGGGGATATATGATCACAAGATTGAGCAGGTCTCCTGCTTCAAACACCTGGGAACATTTCTTTATTCTGCCAACAGAATGGGGATTAAATTGCTGAAAATGCATAGAGGAGATCTTCTGCCATCGTGAAATTCCTTAAGACAGGAGGCCTTGTTTTCAACTAGTTCCCTACAACTAGGAAACTCTTGATTTTGCTTGATGAAATGTATCTCAAATCATGGAAGACTATGACCACAACAGGAGAAAGCAGGCCGAAGATGCCTGTTTTAAGATAAACTGATCCAGTTTCCCAAAGATCTCTCTGTGATCCCATGACTTGGGTAAGACAGCCCAATCAAGAGCTTGGAAATCAAATGACTAGAAGCTCCTTAGATGTTGTGGCCTTTGGTTCATTGATTTGTATGCTGGAGAAAGGACTTACTGGCTTCCCAGGAGATCCACTGTCCCCTGGAGATCCTGAACTCCCCTGGAAATAGAGAACAAGATGGATGGCAATGAAGTTTAGCCCAGTAGTGACACTATTAAGAACAAAAAACATGATGTTCATTTCAAGATTAGAACCATTGGAGGTCGCAAAGCTTTTAAAGGTTTGTCACATACCTTATCTCCTTTCAAACCTGGGGGCCCACCAGGATCACCCTGAAATGAAAACCAAACTGTTAAAGTTGTTCAGAAATGAGCCATCAAAAGTACTATTAACGACAGGAAACACAATCTGATCAAAAAAAAAAGTCCAGAGTTATGTCCTGTAGGTATTCTATCAGTATGATAACTTCTGGAATAGTGGAGAACCATTCAAAGGGATGCTACAAAAAGTGCATTAACTGAAGGAACCAACCCTCTTCCTGGTAATAAAACAGATGTCCCCAGCTGTTAGCATGTCTGTCCACCACAGGGAAATCAAAACTCTATCACAGGTAGCTGAGATTGTAACAGAGCTCAAAATAAATGCACCCCAGGCAAAAGCATTAAACACGAGGTCGTACCTATCCGTCAGCCAGTACAGTTCACACTGTAGGAAAAAGCACTGAACTGATTCCACTTTTGAAACCTCCAGTTCAGTCCCCCTTCAACTTTATGTTAGTTTTATCAGAAGCATCCCTATCAGGATTAAGGGGCTGGAGGATTCCTGTTCCATTGGTAGAATTAGCTGAAGGGACAGTACAAATGCAAAGAATGTAAACAACCATATGTCACTAACAGACAGTTGGAGATTAGTGTTAAGAGAAAAGGAAATCTCCCAAGAGGGAAGCACTGTAAGGGAAAGAGAAAAGTCCAAGATCTGAATGGATGTAACTATTGGACATCCACTCAAGCTCAGTCAGAAACAGTCATCAACCCATTATGGTTATCACTTCCAAGAAAATCTTCCTCCTCAACATCACAGTTATCATCATCATCATGTTCATCATCATCATCACATTCATCATCATCCTCAACCTCATCAAGCTTCTAGCCAGGTTTGTCATTCTCTCTGCAGGAGCCCCAGAATGAATCTTGATATGCCCTATATAGAAACTGAAAAATGTGACCAGAGCTAAAGCAATATTTTTATAGGATTGGAGAGGCTTATTGGTGGAATCTTCTTGTTAGATTCAAAGTTCTTTGAATTTAATCTAAGTTTACATTTTCTCAACCTAAAACTGGTCTCCAGGAACATATATCTCCTTTGAAAGGATGAAATAGCAGTTTTTTTGGGGGGAGAAATGAGATATTTAGGCCAGAGGAGATGAAGTGGAGAAGGGTTAAATGCCTTCACCTCCCTTACTGCAATTTATCTGCTTTTACCTCAACCTCCATCCATTTTCTTGAATTGGAAAAATAAGCCCAGCAGTAAAAGTAGAACACCTCTTCATGGTGTTCCCATCAAGTCCTAAGTAATTTAGGTCTTCTCTGAATTACAGGTTTAAAGCACTAGTAGGGAAAGAATCAGCAGGTGGCAGTATCTGGCTGACCTAGTTTGTGCATAGAAGGTGAACAAGGTTGAGCATGGTTAGTATTTACTGTAGATGGGAGGTCCTTATTTATCTATTAGGTTTTTATCCCACATCTATTGCTTTATAAATAATTCAAGGCTATTCCCATATGGCTACGGGGCTTCAAGGATTGTATTGAAAGAACCCAGGCTGTCTTTTTTAGAAAACTTCTGGGTCTTCCTCCTTGTGTTGGTTTTGCTCTGATGTACCTAGAAATGGGCACTCGATCAGTCGAATGTATGGCATGGATTAACACCTTTAAATGGTGGTTTCGGGTGCTCTTTCTGGCAGTTCCTGGTATCTACCTCTCCTTGGCATTTGCTGACTCTCATATTTCTCGTTGGGAGAGGGAGCTGATGAAGAAATTACACCTCCTAGGTTTTACGGGGGATGCCCTGGGAGATTATGGCCTTAAGGACGCCCAATTTAGGGTAGTCCAACGGCTTGTGGACATTGACTTGCAATATCTACGAGCCAGAGCTAACAAAACTTGCTCCCCTCTGATCTTCAGCCAATTTAATAATTACAGACTGAGGATGGCTTCCTATTTTGACACTCTAACCATTCCCAAGTATAGAAGAGCTTTCTCCCTAGCTCACTTTAATGTTCTGCCCTCAGCACTACTGGATGGGTGATTTAAGAGGCTCCTGATTAGCGAGCGGCTATGCCCCTGTGACAGACAGAGCTGAGGTTGAAACTGTGGAGCATGTCCTTTTATATTGCCCTATGTATAACGCAGGCAGATCTAAGTTACTGTCTCTCCTTGAAACAGACCCTCCTAGACCCAATGTTAGTAATTTGTTCTTATATTTTCTAGGGGATAGCTCCTCATATATCACTTCTTTGGTTTCCAAATTTTTTAAAAAATCTGTAACCATCAGAGGAGAACGCTGTAATCTCCCTTAGTCGAGTTTTTGGTGACCAATTGTTCATGATTAATTTTCCCATGTTCTTCTTTTGTTGTACTTGTGTTTTGGTCTGTGACCACAAATGGAGTATTATTATTATTATTATTATTATTATTATTATTATTATTATTATTATTATTATTATTATTATTATTATTATTATTATTATTATTATTCAAGGCAGTGAACATTCCTAATACTCCTTCCTCCTCTTATGTTCCCCACAACAACAACCCCCTATGAAATGGGTTGGGCTGAGAGAGAGGGACTGGCTCAAATTCACCCAGTAGACCTTTCATGCCTAAGTTGGGACCAGTGCTCAGAGTCATCTTGTGATCAGCCCAAAGTCATCCAGCTGGCTTTCATGCCTAAATTAGGACTAGAACTCACCACCTCCTAGTTTCTGGGCCAGCACTTTAACCACTACACAAGATTGGTTTATGGGATTATGAGGACTGTACACTAGACTGTGATGTGGAAAGAGAAGGAGGCAATGACATGTTATTGTTCCCAAGAAAAATACATAGATATGTTTATGCAGTGAGAAGCTGCTGCCGGTTTGGACCGGTTCGCCCGGACAGGTAGTTCCAACCATCGGATGGGCCCCGCCCACCCACTCTGATGCTATCCCGTCCTATATATCTCACTCTCTGGCTCACTTGCCCTGGCTCACTCCTGCCCATGCAGGCCAGCTGATTTTCATGCCTTTCCTGCTCTACTCACAGCAGCTGCCACCCGCGTGAAATTGCTGTGTGTTTGCTGCCGCACCCAAGCGTGGATGGTGCACACGTGTACAAAGCGGATGTGTGTGCATGTGCTCACATTTTCACTCTTCGCTAGATGAACCGGTTGTTACATTATGTGCAGCCCACCTCTGTGTCTATGAGACCATCAGAGATCAAACTTAATTTGAAAGAGACTCTATTTTTAAAGATGATTTATTTTCCAAGAAGAGTAGTAATGGTGAGTCAGAAAATCATCCTTACTGGTTTTCCTGGAAAGCCAATTCCAGGTGGGCCTGGCAACCCTGGAGGTCCTGGTTCTCCAGCAAGCCCTTCGGGGCCAACAAAACCTGGATCCCCCTAAGGTAAAAACACAGCCATTAGTCACATTTATCTTTCAGAAAAAGACCCCTCCCCACCCCTGTCTTCGACTTGCACAATACATAACAGTGAGATGGGTGGTATTTGAATTTAATGAAATAAATTAATAAATACCCTTTGGCCTTTGGGCCCTACCAAACACAGCTCTCCAGGTCGGCCCTAGAAAATTGCAAAAAACAGGCTTTGTTAGAAGAGGAGCTTTCCTCACACTTCATGCAATTCACAATCAGCTTCCTCAGAGATGGACTCTGAAACTAAACCCCAAGAATAAAGTAAGAGATGGAAACTAGTCCAGGAGAGAACTCAGGAGGAATTTCCTGAGAGTGAGAACAATTTATCAGTAGAACAACTTGCCTCCAGAAGTTGTAAATGCTCTGACATTGGAGGCTTTTAAGAAGAGATTGGACAACCATTTGTCTGAAATGGTACAGGGTCTCCTGCTTGAGCAAGTGGTTGGATTAGAAGACCTCCAAGGAACCTTCAAACTCTGTTATATTGTTACTGTTACTCTATAGAGGCTGAGGATAATAAGAGATTTACTTAAGCCTGAATATGCTAATCTCTCCCTTTAGTTAAGAAAAGAGTAGGAAGCAAGACAGAAATTGTTATTGGCCAGGAATTATTAAGCCTTTGGATGGGCTGAACCTGGCACACATTTCTTACATATTAGTGAATTATGGTTCAACTTATTTTATTTTATTTATTTATTTGATTTGTCAATCACTTACAAGATAATAGATATAAGTATAAACATGAGTAAGAATACAGGAAACAGGTACAAATAAATGGGGACAATAGGACAGGGACGGTAGGCGCGACGGTGCACTTATGCACGCCCCTTACAGACCTCTTAGGAATGGGGTGAGGTCAATAGTGATTAGTCTGACCACTATTATATACCTATACCTATTATTATTATATATTATTATACTTAGCTTGGTCACTGTTCTCAAGTCATGCAATGGTTGACCTCTAATGCAACTACTTTGATCCATTTCTACCTGTATAGGATAGCAAAATAGCTGAACAGCTATTGAACATATTGAAAATATTGAAAATATAAAAAAAACCATCTCTACCCCATTCCTCAAAGATACAAAGAGTTGAATTCCTGATCCTGGTAAAAATAGTATTTGAATATTGATGTAATACTCAGGGCATCATTTGAGAATCATCTAATACAGGAAACAAGAGGAAAGCAGCCACAAAAATGACACCAAAGAGAAAGATGCCTGTTGTGCAACTTACATCTCGCCCAGGGCTGCCTGGTTTCCCTTGAAGTCCAAAGTCACCTTTCTCACCCTTCTGCCCCTGCAGAAAATGACCAATTTAGTAGAATTTAGTACGCAATTCAGTGTATTTCAGCCACAATTTAAGTTTTCTTAACCTATAATTTCATCACTGATTCTAGTTCATTGATCTGCTATTTTCCCAAGTGGTGTTAGGGCTTCTTAACTGAACAGTGAACTACTACTTTTAATCACAGCATACTTCCATAACCATTCACTAAGGAAATCATAATTTCCTTGCTTGAAATTTGAGGGAAACAATCAGGTGGACCATTTTCCCATGAACTTTCTACTTCATTCTCCAAAGCTGGAATTAGTCAATTCAATCCAATCAATTTAGGAAGTCTATCGTGATTCAGTTTTGAAGCATGTCAAATCAGATTCTGAATTGTTCAGTTGCATCCCCTTCTAATTCAATTCCTGAATTGAACCTCCACAAAACTTACTTTCTGTCCATGAGTTCCGATCAATCCTTGAAGCCCCTGGAAACAAAAAAGTATCCATTAATTAGCAATGTAGAAATTTATAGTCTAAACCAGTGTTTCTCATCCTTGGCAGCGTTAAGCTGTATGGACCTCACTTCTGAGAATTTCCCAGCCAACAGGTTTGTCTAAACTGCACTAAAACTTAAGAACCAGTTATCATGAACAATTAATTTTACATTCCTAAAACAGCCACTATGCAGAAGTGTTGGCTTGCAATCTGGGATTCAAAATCCACCATAAAGGACACAAAATTGGAAAAGAATGCTGGTTTGGAGGTTTACAAATGTGTTATTTGGAACACATATATATCCAATGTATTCATGTGTTCAGAGAAGCTATGGGATGAAATATGTAGAGTTTTCAGAAATTAAACAAACCCATTGAAAGGACATGATAGAAGGAGTTAAGTTTTGAGAGCTGGCCAACAGTCAACATAATATTCCTGATAAATGATTTTCTACAGACCCCTCACATCCCGGACATAAACTGTTTCAAGGCCTTCCCTCAAAACAACACTATAGAGCCCTGCACACCAGAACAACTAGACACAAGGACAGTTTTTTCCTGAAAGCCATCACTCTGGTAAACAAATAATTCCCTCAACACTGTTCAACTATTTACAAAGTGTGCTGGTAATCTTTTCATCACTCCTTATCACCCATCCCCTCCCACTTGTGATTGTAGGACTGTAACTTTGTCGCTTGTGTCCTTATATTGACTGTTTCCTAGTATGATTTGATTGTTGATTGTACCCTATGACTATCATTAAATGTTGTACGTTATGATTCTCGATTCTTAACGAATGTATCTTTTCTTTATGTATACTGAGAGTATTTACACCAAGACAAATTCCTTGTGTGTCCAATCACACTTGGCCAATAAAGTATTCTATTCTATTCTATTCTATTCTATTCTATTCTATTCTATTCTATTCTATTCTATTCTATTCTATTCTATTCT